AGACCTTGTATTTAGAAATATTATCAATGATAAAAAAAACATTTTTTTTTACCAGTGTTATATTTAATCTATAATACACGTTTGAAATTAAACGTGTATTATATTTCCCGATTCTGCGAAGAATTATTATCTCTCATTAACTTTTCAGTCCTATAAATTCACATTTTTTTTTCCTCCCTTTTTTTCGATACGCTTCGTGACTTTCTCGCAATCTTTTTTCTTGGGTGATATATCTTTCGAATAAGGACATGTCATCGTGCATATTTCTATCTCTTTCTCTCTCTCGGAAACGGAAATTTCGTCGTCCTACGGTCGACGCGTTAATTACCGCACGCTTCTCCTTCTCCCTCTCTCCCTTTTCCCCAATGCGAATGTGTTTACTTGGGGGCCCTTGCGCGATCGCGTCACTTCCTGGTTCTTTCTTCGAGAGATGAAAGGGCTTTGACCTCACCGTTGCGTTGCGTTTCCAAGGGTGAGGGTGTCGACACGGTCCCCGACCTTGCCGTTTCCGTCGTCGCCTTCGGCGAAGGGCGTTACAGAGGTCGAAGGACGGCCATTTTTCAGATCGTCAATCGCCTCTCTCGCGCGCGATTCGATCCCGCGATCAATAGCTACGTATATAAGGACGAGATGAATAATCGCGTAGCGAGCCGATCGTTGAAATTTATGACCTAACCAGTCTTCGCTGCTTTGGCCACCAGCCATAATCTTGGCGTATCTTTCCGCCGAAAGGAACGATTCACACGTGAGTTCGTTCGCAAATATATTCGAAGAATGAATATCTTCTGGGAGGAAAGGGGGGGGGGGGAAGGATTGTTGATCGACGATGATTAGAAGAATTACGATATATCGGATATGGGTAGAAAAATGCAACGCAAGGAAAGTGTCACAATATTCGCGCGCTTTGATAAGAACGCGAACTAAATATATTTATGTCGTCGAATAAACGGCCGGAGAGATTTATTTTACTTTAGCCCTGTTTTCGTAGGACGGATAAAATAACTACCATCATCCGCGCGCATTTCCCGTCGAATGCCACAGAATATTCGTCGCGCGTTCTCGCACAAAGAGAGATAGATATATATGTATGTATATTTATATACATATATATATATATATATATATATATATATATATATATATAGGATGTATTTATTGAAAGACGAGCTCTCTCTTTTTCCGCACAAAGCGCGCAAACGAGAAAAGAAAACAAAGTCAAAACACAATCAAACAAATATTTCGTTCGCGGAATTGAATCTGGAAATCGACTTACAAGCGTACGGAATATTCAAAAATACGTTACTACTCCCTCTTTCGATCCTTTGAAATTTCTCGAGATATTGTATCCATGTATCTTGCTTTTGTGATTTCAAAAAATAATATTTGAGAAATATATAAAACACGTGCATTCAAACTTCGACAGACTCGACATAATAAAATTCTTTATTCGTGAAACTATGATAACAAGTGAAACTTTGATAACAAGTAGAATTAATCATAGCTATACATTCCCTTCATCTTTCTTCGATTAATGAAATTTTTGATAACAACATTATCGCGCAGTGAAATAATTTTCGTCAAAGTGATTTAAAGCTCGATTGACATTATTTATGACATTATTAAATCTATCCAATTTTAAAGCTCTGTACTTTTTTTCCATTGTCCATCACACGTGTAACGTAAAAATACTCGTTCGTCGTGTGTGTCGGATATCATATTGACATGTAGATCCGTTGTATTTTTCGTAAAAAGATCGCTATACGATCGTCGCAATGCAACGCGAAAGTTGTTTTAAGAGTAAACATTTCGAACGTAGGTCGCGCGGTAATTATTGCATTAATCATTCGTCGGGAAATGTATGTGTGTTCACCTAATTGTCAAGCGCGTTCGCCTCATTAAATTATGACGTCGCTTCAAATTGCCCATGTTTATGTATCTATAAGCGCGGCATCTCTCTCTCTCTCTCTCTCGATCTCTCACTCTCTCTTTCTCGTTTTCCTTCGTCCATCCATCGCGTATAATAATGAAATCCTCTCCTCGAGTTTCGAGATATAACATAAATGTATCTCAAGGGATTTTCAAACGCGTGTCTTGAGAGTTTTGATTTCTTCGCGAGAGATCTTCGGAGAGATCCGTCTTGAATTTCGATCCGAGATATCGCGTCGACGTGATTTTACGATGCATTCCACGTCTCGCGCGCGTATGATGATGGCATCTCGATAAGAAAAGAGCTCGCTCGTCAATCGCGGTCGGAAGCAATCGCGGATAAGCCGCGCAAAAGGAACAAACCGCTATTCGATTCGGTCTTTATCGACGATGAATTCGTGATTCGCTATTAATAGCCGGGTAAGGGGTTTCATTTCGACGAATTTTCATATATAAATCTTATTAATTCATGAATTATAGTATTATATAATGAGCATCGCGCGAGGAATTCTTTTTCTCCGAGATTCATCTCTAAAACGTCAAACCCGAATATTTCACTTTTCCAAACGGTAACCTACTTTCACAAAGAGATAAGCTCGCTAAAACCTGCAGAGATCTTCACAAACTTCTTTTCTATTCTGGAAATAGTATTGTTCCGCTTTCCTTTTTTTTTTATTATGCTCTTACCGCGACATTCACGCTCAACCTGTTTCGAAGGAGGCTATCCGTCTTTCTTTCTCTCTCTTTTAAACGGAGAGATATTTTGCGATAGTTTATCACAATCACGCTATAAATTTCGCGCTGCTCGAGAATCATTTTCGCGATGTATCGTATAAATAATACATCAAAAGCGATAAAGATTGATTAAAAATTCCCGAATGATACGACAATGTCTATCTATAAATTTTGCATATATCTCTAAATAAAGTTTAACTTAATTTTCGTAAAATGGAATGTTATCGGCTCTGATAATAAGTCAAACGAGTTGTCGAGGATGACTGTTTGGATTGGTTATTGTGAATGTATATGCTTTCAACGAGGTTGGAAATCGGCCTCTGCTCGCCGTATACAACGCGAACAATGGGCAATAAAGGCGATAAGAGTTAATTTCATCAGTGCGGGCACATGCTGGGGGGATCGCTCGTGTTATAAGTCAGTTATGCGCGAGGCCGGAGGAAAGGAAAAGTCGCGGAAAACTGTCCCTTCTCGCGAATTTATCGAATCGAATACACGCATTCAAAGTGGAAACAGAAATCGAAACAAGCGGAGCAGATTGCGTGATTTTTACAGGATTGCTAGAATATCGTTTGTCCAAGTATGAGTTTCACACACGATCATATAACACGTTTGTCACATTTACTCGATGTAACTCTGTCAAATTTATTTCTAATTCGTAATGGAATCTTTTCGATGTAATTAACGTGGCTATCACTTGCTTTATTAAAATCTTTTTTTACAGTAATACAAATAAAGTGCTCTGAATAAAGAAAAGTTTATCGTACTATAATTCTCGCGCAATGGATAAACAAATTGCATCGATGATTCCTATATTATTTCCTGAACGGGAAATATACATATATTATTAGAGCAAAACATTGCTACTAATTAAATTCAATTTGGATTTATGAAATTATTTCGCGGTTCTATAGTCGCGCGATTCGGTTGTCGGCTGAATTAATCAGAATGTTTCATATCCGCGAGATATATAGATACTTTTTGAAGCGAGCGCAAACATCCATCGTGATACGGCTGCATGCAGGCGTTCCGTTTTGTAATTCACGTGATGTACTCGTTATATCAAATAATGGACGGCATATATATGTATCCCGCAGAGTTCAATTTCACATTTAAAACGCGCCAACATAACTACTGTATATTGCCTCCGTCTGTCTCTTTCGAATTATCGCTCGAACCGAGTGGAGATTTATTGAGCATCAACTCATCACGCCTCCGAATTATTTTTAATAATGTACTCTTCGTGTCAAGTATCTTGTCGCACATTTTAGAAAGTGTCCATCATTTTAAAGTCCGTTTTTTATAATCCAGAATATATGAACTACCCATTTTAATTTCAACATTTTTCGAACGTGCACATCTCTCTGCCAATTAATAACGTGTTTCAGTATCGCACTCTCTTAAAATAAGTTACTGATTAAAGTAGTGACATAAAATTTCATCGAGGATCAGTGAGTATTCTATCAATCTTCAATGAAAATACTAACTTTACTTATCCATTTTATATTCCACTGTAATGGCAGGAAAATTTCACTGAAAATAACTACTATACTACTATTAACTAGTATTGAAATTAAACATATACATATTACTTTTTTTAAAATGTGATAAAAAATAAACAAGACTCTTAGTCAAATTTAAATATTTCTTTTTAAGAAATACATATATTGCTATAGATTTTTATCTTACATATAACATTATAATATGTCATTTTAAAATATTTTATTGATTACAACAACCACTACTATTAACTGATTCTTTCAGTGAAATTTCACCAATTTATAATACTACATTTATAACTGATTGTGAGATAATTAGTGACTATTTACCGCTTTTCAATGATGCATTGAATACATTGATTCCATTTACAAGAACATTATTAATCTCTACTGATTCGAATTATATTCCCACCCGCCAATAATAATCTCATTAAATTTTTCCGTCCTTCGTTCGCGGCGCGAGTCCGGATGTTGTTAACTCAGGCGAAGAGCCTCGTCGGTCGCCAAACCGGTAGCGCGAAGAAAGAAAGGGAGAAAAAAAATGAAGAAAAAAAGGGAGTAACGCGGGAAAGAGAGAAAGAGAGATAGGAGGGTGGAGTTCGCATCAGCAACACGCGTCGTTGCGGTGTCCGGCAAACGCGTCTCCGTCACATTTTCCGTGCCGATGCACTTACCCTCGCATCCATCCCCCATCGTTCTCCCCGCATCCGCTGCGGACCCCATAGACGCCAATCCACCTCGTCCATGCGCTTCTCCCCCATCCTACCGTCTAACTCCCTTTCGTCCCCACCTCGTCACGAGCGCCCTTCGCTCACCTACGAGTGACGACGCCTGGTCTCTGGAAATAGTTGCCACAAAGCGATTCGCCGTGCATCTATCGTGTGTGCGATTGTTACGAGAGCCCGGTTCTCTTGTTTCTCTCTGTTGATTCGCGACCGTCCCGTGAAAGGGAACGTGCGACGATGATTTTGCGCTGCGTGGGGCGACGCGCCGGTGTATCTTTCCACGAATTTTCGCGGCGACGCGTGATAAAAATTTTATCGGCGCAACTGCCTTCGAGACCGTCGACGATATTTTCGTCATGAAGTTATTACGCACGGTATATCGAGTCGCGCGGCTATAATGGGAGTTGTGTTTGTGTGTTTGCGTGTGTGTATCGTCTTGCGCGTGCGACTATGACATGAAACTACTTCGTCGCGGCTTTCGATTCCCGCTTATTCCGGCCGCGTTTATTAATTCGGCTTTCGAAGAAGAAAGTGCGCGTGTTTCTATACCCGACGTGTTGTCCGAAACGAAAGCTGCTCTATCGTGTAAATATGTGCGACGCGATGCAGAATATGCCGACAAACGCGACTTGAAGTAATTAATTGACGTGAAATTTAACGATTTTATTTCGGAATCTCGCGGTTTATTCTTAAAAGGATTAAATTCAATTTCTTACTTGAGGAAAAATAGTCATCTACCGTTGCTGGATCCGCATTATTTTGAATTATGATTCTCTTTCTCTCTCCGTCTTATCTTTCATCCAGGTACTTCATTTTCTGTTTATTGACAATATAAAAATAAACGCGTTTAATATTCCAAAAATAAAGACATTGTGTATACTTTTACATTCGTCAACTAGAAGAACTCGAATATCGAATAACGGCGGCGAAATGAGTTCATTTACAAAGTGAACGACAGTCGTCGCGAGAGCAATCGCGGCTGGGAAGTGAAAAATGATCTCGTTCGCGTATCTCGTTATACGAGGCACACGTGGATAACCCGTGATGAACGATGTGTGTTACGTGCCGGTGATTGAATTTGCTGGACATATTGACGCGTATTACAAGAGAAAGAAAGAGAGAGACACAGATAGTCGAGAGCGGCTGTCTTTCTTTATTCACGTATTTATTCGCGGCTAGAAGAGTATTGATAATCATGTATACACGATCTGTATATCGGACATGCGCTCGTTAGCCGCTAAGATGGATAAGCAAAGGAGGAAAGAGAGACACGTCGCACGAGAAGGTATCTCTTAACCCTCAACCTCCTTTCCGTTCGAAGCAATCTCCTCTGTGCGTGTCAGTTATTTTATAAGCTGCCAATACGATCTCAGATATTGAAGGATAGGAATATCTCGCTTATTGTAAAATAAAAAAAATTATTTTAGAAAATTTTCTTTAACTATTAAAAGGAAGATTTATAGAATTGTGAGAAAAAGGAGACGAGAAAAAATTTGCAAGTAATAATTGTGTTTTTCATACAAACTTTTGTCACTAGCATTCAAAATTATTCGATGAGATTTCCTATGGTAAAGGGAATCCCTCTCGAAAATCCCCATCAAAGTCCGCGATAATACACCGTATCCAATTCCCGGAAATCGTATCCACCTATCATGGGGCTGACGCGTGTATATATACGTAGGGTGGCACGTGGTATCCGACAGAAGGACCGTTAATGAACCGCAGGCGGAATCAAAACGGCATCTCTCTCTCCGCTCCGGAACGAAGAGAGGGGTTGTTTGCGCCGTTAATTTTCATCCCCACACGCGTAGTGATGCAACAGTGCGGCACGAAACCAACGATAATCAGGACGTGATAAAGGGTGGCTCGCGCGCCGCAGCTCTTGGGTTTATCGCGCCTCGGGGCGAGCGGATAAAACGTCCATTTATCCCTCGGGGCCCGGGGGTGCGGAGGGGTTCATGTGATAATCGCACGAGAGTTACAACACGGATGATCCGGCGTATGCTTCTGATATAGAGTCTCGACTTTCCCGGTGTAAAAGCCGCTAGTGTGGGTGGATGTTTCTGATCTAACGCGATGTCAAAGAACCTGGCTGCTTTAATAACAGAAACAAAAAAAAGTGACCCGAGGAAAAACAAATCATCTTTGTAGCTTTACTTGATGCTCGATAAAATGCATCTTCTTTTTTCTTTCTTTTATCTCAAAAATGCTAATCACGCTTTGAGAAAATCGGATATTAAAGTCGTCAAAGGTTTATTTCAATATAATTTATAGCTGATACGTACGGAGAAAATTTTATTTCGTTTGAAATTAAGTCTGTATATCGCTAGAGAATTTTTTCGACTGTCAAAAGAAATCTGTTGCGAATATTAAAGTTCATGAGATTTTTGTGAGCAGATATTGAATCTATTAAATCGCAGGAAGCTAATATTTGATTATCTATTCTTTGGCTATATTGGATACGCCAGATTGTATTCATTAATTTTAATATTGGATTCGATTATACAGTAACCTGAAAATCCTCTGTATATGTATGAACTTTTGCAAGAAGTCGAAAACTTTTTAATTTTGATATCTGCCATATTGAATTTCATCATCTTGAATTGATTTTGATAGCAAATTTATATTCAGTAACTTGAAAAACTCGTAAGCTTGACAATTGGAAAATGTTTGAAGTAGATTGTCCTGTGATCTTCAATGGCATAACTTACAAATTTTCCGCAACAGACCTAGTGTTTAATCACTTATTAATTTTGATTTTCATATTAAATTTTTTTTGAAAATTAAAAGAGAGAGAGAGAGGGAAGGGTTCTAATAATATACTTAATTAAAAAAAAAAAAGAAACTATTTCATATTACATCGTACAGCTATATTTGTAAATTATTTAAAAACAGTCGTTTTTTTTATAAATTTATTCTCAAATTTCTCGGTGACATGATAAAACATTTCGGTCAAAATTATATTAAATCTTAAAAAAAATTACAATAATTGATTATTATTTTTTTGTATAATTGATAGTTTAGCGAAATATCAATATCCATGTAAAAATGTATTTCCACGTAAAGAGAAACGTGTGCGTTAGAATAATCAACACTTATTGTTAGCTATGAGTCCAAGGAGAGTAAGAATTAGAAACGTTGTTACTATAGAGATTAACGTACATATCGCTAATAGTAGTTAAATAAATGAACAGTTATAAAGAGATCGCCAGAGGAACGCACGTTTTTTTTTTTGCGTCGAGAAAATCCGACCATAGGGCGAAATAACAACTTTCGTTTGTTCCATATTTTAACCTCGTTTTTCCCGCCCGGCGATAAACAAGATACAGCAGCGTCGGGGACCTCCCAATACCGTCCCGTTCACTTAACGAATTAGCGTTTAATTCCAATTAGCGTGTACGCGCCCGGTTGTCGTATATGTATAGTCAAAGGACGCAGACTCGCGAGAGTTTCGCAATTTGCGCGGCGACGCTTTTACAGCGGGATTCGCCCGTTTAATTCAATTTGTTCCTTAGAACAAATCGTCTCTATAGTCGCCGGGGTGTCATTTGTTTGCGCCGGTCTCGCCGGATAAACTTTTGTATCTTCAATTACGCTCCGCTCTGCCAGTCCCCTCTTTCCGAATCCGAATTTCCGATCTGCAGCTTTTTACGACGATAACGGCGAGATCGCGCGATTTGTTTTGCATTAGCCTATTTTCGTAATGCGAGTGCAGTCGTTCGCATCGATCGCTTCAATTGGCAAACATATAACGCGCGATTCTGCGAATTTGGATATCTTACGGAAAATTTAATTGCCACCGAATATTTCGACACCTCTGAGATATTTCTCTTATATTATATTATATAAATTATTACTTCATTATGTTTAATTTTTTCATTATTAATTACTAAAATTTTTATTTTA